AAAATTGAAGACAATGGAAAACAAAAGTATATAGTTTTGACTGCATTCACAGTTTATTTATTTTGTTTTTCAATCACTCAAAACTGCTCGCGATTTGACAAAAAACTTCGAATAACATTTAATCATTTAAAAAAAATAATAATTGTACTTTACGATTTTCCAAAGCATTGAATCTTAAAAGAATTGTGTCCTTGTCCAAATAATCAGGCAGTACGTTTGTAATAATATCAGGTAGTACGTCTGATTGGTTTGAAATGTCGAAAAATGGTCTTGCTCCGGGTGATGTTTTCAACTCGCAATAGTGAATTTTGATTGATTCCGTATGGAATGGTCGATATGTGGGGTTTAGAGCGAAAATTTAATACAGAAAAGTTGAGAAGAAAAATGTCAAATGAAAAGAGATAGCTATATAGTTCACTATAGTTTACTATACAGTTTACTATATAGCTATCCCTTTTCCGCTCATTCATCATCGACATTTTTTTCGCTCAACATTTCTGTATTACATTTCGGTCTAAACCCCCTCATATGAAACAATTATAATTATTGGATAAGTGTAAAAAATTAAATTATATTTAGAAAAAAAAAATTGCCACCCCACGCAAAACAGTGTTGCTACGGCTCTGGTGTGTTGTAGCTCTGTCGTATATTTTTCGTTCAATTTTATAACTGGCGTGCACAGCGACCGGTAGCCAAACGCAACTATAACACGAGCAAAAAGCAAAATACACACACACACTCACCGTTTCAAATAGAAATAGGAATAATAACATTTGAACAAAAAAGTGAAAATAAATGCTTGCAAATGATTTAAGCTCGCGGAAATATCCGTTGTTATTTTCTTCAGCACTAATGCATTGTATCCTTCGTTTGTCCCATTTATATATAAATGCAATGCGATTTGTTCGTACATTTTTTTTGGGTGTGTTGTATGTCGTGCTCCTGTTTTCGTACAGCTCGAGTTGGCTTGTTGATGTCCTTCCTTCTCCGATTTGTTTTTCTCACTCTCTTCCTCTTCCAGCCTTTGTATCTCTCTCTCTCTGTCTCTCGCTCGCTCCGCATATCAACACTCTTTCGTTTTCATCTGCACACATAAGACACAATAATATATACCTATATATATTTATTTCTTTTTTGGTTGTTGATTTAGAAAAAAAAACAAATTTTATTTTAAACAACGGAAAATTGAAATATTTTTCTTTCGTTTGGCTGCACACTTTTGCAATTGCTGGCTTGACCGAGCGTTGTGCTGTTTTTCTCCCTAAGTTTGCCTTTCACGCGCTTGTATGTTCACTTAATTATACTTGGTTATTGTGCTTCAGTAGCTAGTTCTTCGTTCTTCTTTCACTCCTGACTCGCACTCTTACTCATTCATTTTTAAAAAAAATTCCCTTCTGTTGTGCTCGTTTCCCTTTTTTTTATTCTTCATTTTAAAGTTTTGATTCTCCTTTTTCGCCACTGAAAAGAAACGAAGAAAAAAAAACGTCCGAAGGACGACAACAAAAATTACGAAAATTATAAATGGCAGGCGCACATAATTTTCGATACTCATGCCACTGCGCTCTCTTTCTGTGTGTATGAGAGTTCAGTTTTTTCTTCGGTACCACTGTCAACGACACAGCCAACCTGGCCACTTATACCTGTGTGTCACGGTGGATACCAATTTTTTTTGGTTTTTTTTTTGAATAATAAAATGTTAAATGTACAATGACGTAAAAATATTAAATGAATTCGCAAATAAATGGGCGCGGTGGCTTTTCAGTTTGCAATACATTCAAGCGCCGATGTTCTCAACCTTCTCGAACTAGCATCGCAATCTTATGGTTTTTTTTTCTCGCCAGCTCGCAATTTCTGTCATTTCCTTTTCATTTCATTCAATAATATTTATTTTTATTCGCTATCTCGGATCGCCCCATCAGATGAATGGGATGGGATGGGATGGGATGGTATGAGGTCAATCGAAGTCAAACATTACAAATTTCCATTTTTAATTTATTTCAATATTCTCAGCGCCGATATGTGGCTGAAGGTGCGGGCGCGCAATTGCATGACCGACGACAATATAAATATATTTATAGATATTCGTTTTCTTTTTATTCAAATTGCATTTATACTTGAGTTTTGTTATTGTTATACTTTGCTACTTGTAAAAAATTCGCTGGATTATTGGATGGTGTGTTCGGTTCGCGGAAAATGGTTTCGTTCATGTTCATTTCTACCGCTTCAATTAATCTGCTACAAAGACGGCAAAGAGCGAACAATAGAGAGCGAGAGAGCGAGTAAGAGAAATTTGCCCGAACACGAAGTGGAAATATTGTAAATTGGGAAAATTTACTAAATTCGATATAATCCCGTGTGCAAATAAAATGACTAACAGTCACTCAGTTGTATGTAACTGTGTGTAGTGATACATAACTAAAACTGGCTAAGTTGATTGAAATCATGCGTTTTGTATGGAGACAATCACGTTTAGTTATTCTTTCAGTCAGTCGACTAATTTGGGACATTTTGACTAAGAGTGATTTGTGATTAAAGTTAACTGCAGTTGCTTATTTTGTTCGAGAAAACTCACTTTTAGTCAGTCAAATAAAAATTTTCCACACGGGATGTTTTTCTCCCGTAGATCGCAGCATTTCAACAGCAACTCAAACATTTCGACGCAAAATGGTGTAAAGTATTCGTATGCTGCGTTTGATGATCGTAAAAAATTTGTTTAATAATAATAAATTCCATTTTATTATTTATTTATGTGTACAGAACGTTTCTGGCTGGAGCGAAGCAAATACGAAGCAAAAAAGTGTGTGAGCCGAGGAAATGGTCGCAGCAAGAAAGAGAGAGAGGCGCCTGCATCAACCGATGAGACGAACAGAAAGAACGAAGTCGATGCACCAAAAATACCCAATTCAATGGTGTTCAACACTTTGGTGTTTGCCTTCGACTAGTTGCCATTCTCGAGAGTCGAGTTGTGTTGCTGTTTCTCGGTGCTGGTCTTTCCGTCTTTTCCAGATTCTTCATGTGTAATATTTAACTTTTCCATTTCTTCCATTAACGAAGCCGAAAGCGAAAGAAAATGCTCCCAAAACAAACCGATCCAGTTCAGACTAGTATTATCAAAGTGTGCGCACATTTTCCTTCCAACGAATCTATATTTTACTGTGCATATAGAAATTTATAAGTCGACATTGTGTGTGTGCGTCTCTCTTTTTTTTTCTTTCCAAACATATTTTATTTCTTTGCCAATGCTTTACGTTTTTCTTTCTCTCATTCGCCCGACGCTCCATGTCAGTCGTTAGTCGCTTTTTTGTTTCGATATTTTTGGCTTTCGTTTGTTGTTTGAACTCAATGAAGCTCCGTTATTCTCATCTACAGATAAAACCGGAGAATTAAACAACTGTTGTTCACTGTTCAAATATTCCCACTGAATTTTCTGCGAGCATTTCGATAACTACATAGTGTATATGTATATTTTATAGATCTGCAGACGAATATTTTTAACATTCATCCATAATTCGGATGTTCTAAATGAACTTGGATAATATCTCAACACATCCGAATGCGAAGTGAAAGAAAGAAAGAAAGAAAGACATAGAGAGAGAGAGTGACACGATAAGAATTTGTATTTGAATTGATATTCGTTGCCAATGGATTTAATACCATTTGAATATCGATTTTCTTCGATTTCGGTTTTTTGGCCCGGGATACAATTTTTTATGGACCGAAGAAGGTCTAATCGAGTTAAAACTCTGAAAAAAAGAGGACAAATGAATATGCGTTACAAAAATTATGACAAAAAGGTTTCTGGCCGTCGCAATCACGAAAATTAATTGATTATTGGAAAAAGTTCGGCGCTATTTTTAGTATTTTTTTTTTATTTCTAAAAAAACACAATTGAAATTTATCGCTCGTTACAATCGTAAATTGTGCTCCCATTTTAGCGACGAACCTTCAACACTGTTCAATAGCGAATATCAACGGTGTGATCAATGAGGTGCAGCAGGTGAAGGTTTTTCCAATATTATTTTATAATCCATTTCACTTGAGATTCAAAACAATATGCACAAACAATTCATTTTATAAATGTGACAACAAATAACAAATAATAAAACACAAACGACACAAAACGTTTTCTCTGTTTATTCATTTATTGATTTGCTTCCTCTTGCCATTAATTTATTCTTCTAAAGTTAAAAAAACTTCTTCGAAAATTTACGCTCATTTAAATACACATTCACATTTGAATTTAAACTAACATTAAACTGGAGCTCGTTTCTCATTTGACACCTTTTTTTTCTTCACCTCTGCGATGTTTGTTGACTCAAGAAATTGTTATTTAACTAATTCTCACGGTGAAAGCGCGCGCGCCTGCCCGTCGTCTGCTGAGAGAGAGATTCGCAATGTAAACCAGCCAGTTGAATTTGCCCAATAAAAACAAGATAATCTCGAATGATTGTTATTTAGTCAGTGACTAAAGTAGGTCGTTAGTGACGTATCTGGAAATTCAATCTTAAGCGACGATACTCGATTGAATAACAAACGATTTATGTTTATTCTCGATGGGAAAGTAACTTGCATCATAATTTTACCATGAATTTTTGCATATTTCAAGCATCTCAATCAAATGTTTTTCCATTGAATTTGTGTGAATCACCGTCAAAACTGTTTTGTCTGTATCAAATTCGGTCGCGCTGAGTGTGCTAAGTTTGTTTGGAACAGATTCTCATTTTAAAAAAATAGGGTGTCCAAACAGAGAGAAGGTTTGATCAATTTCAAATATATCGCCAAAATATTTCATTTCATTCAAATGCTAGATGGAATTTTTCAGCTTCATCTAAATCCGAAAACTTTGTTTTGGGTCTTTTTAAATTAAACATCGATTTTAATAACTTGGCTGTCATTAAATTTGTGATTCGTATGAGCTGGAGCAAATAACTGAATGTGTGAAATTCTGCTGAACTTTTGGGTATATAAACAGTCTGTTCGAAAGCGCAGACAGAGAAAGATCATTCAGTATCGGTCGACAATGGTCGCGTTCGTAAGCAGTATTTTGGTTTCGCTGTTGCTCATCAGCACCGTTGATTTGTAAGTAAATATGGATTATAGTTATTAGTGATTTGTAATCGAGTTAAATAAAGACTTTGTCACTCTCGTGTGCCAAATGTTCATATTTTTAGTGGAGTCTTTGATCTTGCCCTGAACTTTTATCGACAATATGTTCTTTTGAATTGGAAGTGATTTGATTTTTTTTTCTTGGAATTTTAAGCTGTAATTCTTTTTTTATTATTCTCAATTAGCGCTCAATGCAAATCGCGACAGTATGCTATGCAATGTGCGATAGATATATATGGAGCTTTACCTTCATCGGCTTCGACGGTCCAATCATATAAAGCAATCCTACGCAATAGTTCAGCTACAACATTTTCCCTTTCGAGTAAATAAATTCAATTGAATCATCACTATTTATTTTGAAGTGAAGTGGTGTTTAGTTATAACGGTATCTTTTTTCGTTAGATGATGCCGAAGCTGACCATATCTGGATGTTTGTCAGGCATGGAACTCGTAGACCAAAAGCAGAAAAGATCGCCGAATTGAAGGAATTAGAAGAAGTAATGTGATTATGAAACAGAGCGTGGCTGATGTCAGCAGCACTAACAGTTATATATACATAGCTGATATCAGCTGCTGACGAGTATGCATTTCGTTGTTTTAACGCATTCGCAGTGCAAAATTCATATTCCTTTAGTGAAAGGGAAACGATCAATTCAAAAATAGAATATTTATCGATAATTGAACGTTTCCCTTTCACTAAAAGAATATGAATTTAGCACTGCAAATGCGTTAAAACAACGAAATGCATACTCGTCAGCAGCTGATATCAGCAACTGACGTTAGTTAGTGCTGTTAACATCAGCTCATAGCACGCTCTGCTATGAAATCAATATTTGTGTTTAAAATTTTGATAATTTGTGACATTCAATTGCAGTTGCGTGATGAAATCGTCCAAAACTTTGCGAATAAAAGGCATATACCCTTCTGCGAACGTGATTGGGAGCGGCTAAAGCAGTGGAAATGGGACCATGGCATCACTGATGATCAAGCGCAAATGCTGACTACACAAGTAATTATCGACACATTCCTAGTTTGATTTGGCGAATTTTACTTCAATTTGATTTGATGTGAAGAATTTGTTCTGAGCACAATTTATAGAATAGGCGAGCCAAGAAGATAGATTATGAGGAAACATCCAATTTATAAGTACAAACATATGGGTTCTTATTCCAAAAATTATTTCTAGGGCCAGGATGAGATTCGATCCATTGCGCAAAGCTATAAGCGAAAGTTTCCTCAACTTTTCGATGGTCCTTATGATCGGTCCAAGTTCAACTTCCAACATACTGAAGCGGAACGCACTCGGGACAGCTTTCATGCATTTGTTGACGAGATATTTGGTGAAAATGCACACACACAAATCAATGCCGAACCCACGGAGGCAACACAAGCATTACTCAAGGTACGTTCTAAATTGGTTGAAATTGAAAAGGGATTGTCATCATAATATAATTTATTATAACTGTGCGATCAATCTTAATTTTAATATGATGAATATTGCCTAAAGCAAATGTGACACCAGTTTCAATTTTTTCAATACGAAATTTCTCTCTCTCTCTCTTTCTCTCTCCCCGGGTGAACGCGATACGCTTTGATGAAAGCCTAGTTGTTTCACATACAACTGAACGCCTAGGCTTTCAATGCTACGAAAGAACGAAAGAAGTGAGAATAGCAATGAAAGCCTAGGCGTTCAGTATTTTAAATGTATATAAAAATTATGAAAGCCTCATCGAACGACTGTAGGCTTTCATCTAAGCGTATCGCGTTCACCCGGGTCTCTTTCTCTCTCTCTCTCTCTCTCTCTCTCTCTCTCTCTCTTTTTCTTTCTCTCAAAACCAATTTTCATTTGATAGCCATACAAAACATGCGCTGCATTCATATCGCAACAAGAAAATTTGAAGGAGCCAGACTCGGAGCTGAAAAAATTCCAAGACTCAAAAGTATTTAAAAAAGCAATAAAAGATATAAGCAAACGCTTAGGTTTTGATGAAAAATTAAAAAAGAAGGGAATAATGAACATATTTGACATGTGCCGCTATGAACAAGCTTGGAATACGACTACGCAGAGTATCTGGTGTGCGGTGAGTGCGAATAAATTGATTTTCAATATTGAATTCGTCTTCAATAGACGTGTGTACTGACGTAAAAACTAATTGAACTGATGTTTATCTATTAGATGCTGACACCTGATGAGGTAAAAGTCCTTGAATATGCAAAAGATTTAAGCGGTTATTACGAATTTGGCTATGGTTCGGAAATGAATCGAGGCATTCAATGTTCGACGGTTCGGGATATGGTTTCACATTTGGAATCGAATGCTGATCCACGTGTCACCGTCTACTTTGGTCACTCGTCGGCTTTGTTATTGCATCTCACAGCGATGGGAGCGTTCGAGGATGGGCAGAAACTTACAGCCAAAAACTTCCAAAAATTACCTGAACGCAAATGGAGTACAAGCAAAATGAGCCCGTTCGCTGGGAATCTCGCTGCCGTTCGCTACACCAATAATAAAGTTAAATTTTTCTTGAACGAAGAGTTGATCGAATTCAAGTGGTGCGAAAATGGAGTCTGTGACTTGGAGCAAGTCAAAAACCAATACAAACATTTCAATAATTGTGAGAAGACTTCTTGTCCGAAAGAAGATGCTGATCCAATCGAATCATTCTTTGGTTCAATTATTAGGCCATTGTTTGAATAACATATTTTTCATCTTAAATCAATAAATAAACTTATTTCTATCTGCATTGCGAATGTTTTTCCATTCCACTCAAATGGCAGCTTGGAGAATTGTTGGTAAATGATAATTCTCTAATCAATATATATCTCAAGGCTCTCAGTTTCATATTGCCTTGCATTGTTGTTGGAATTTTCGGAACGGAAATCGAGAGTTTCTTAATTAAAATTCTCTGGCGAACATTTTGAATGTGAGCACTGGTTTTCCATGAAGTGTTTGTTGTTTGGCATTCGTCATTTCAGAAAAAGAAAACACATTCCTAATACATAAACATGCATAAAAATAATTTTATAATCGTCATAAAATGATTGTAAACAATCGGTTGAAAAGCAAAATGAAATAAAATTTCCACGCACTCGCGCACAAGGTGAATTAGAGCGTATTTAAAGGTTCACCGGAAAAGCCGGAAAAAAACACACGCACACAAATAACCAATAACCAGGAATTTATGTTTGCATTTGGTAAAAAGGGAGTTTCAACGAACAAAACCATGAACATTTCATATTCGAATATAAATAGATATTATTCGACATGCCAATACTATATATGTATATAAAATGGTACTCGACGATTCCAAACACACAGCATCAAATGCGATAAAATTTTAAATAAACTCACTCCCTCTCTCTCTCTCTCAATATTAATATTTTCACGCTTCTAAGCTTATGCACGCATCACCATTGCTCAACGTACAACGGCGGCAGTTTTGGTGAATGTGCGGAGTGTAGAGCGCCCGCGCCCGCGCTAGCAAACCTCGAGCGAGTTATGAACAAAGCAACGGCATCGGCGAGACAAACCATAACAATATCATTGGAAAATCGTTGTGAATTGCTTGGATTTTGGCAGACCAACCCGTTTGCCATTTCTCATTCCATTTTCATACGCAAGTGGAACACGAAACCAACTAATTCGAAATCCGCTGCGTATGATAGAATTGGCTAGGAAAAAAGAGTTTATGCTCGTTAACGGGAATCAGTGACGGTGTGCGAGATGGTGAGTGCGTATTGCGTCGAATTAGCATGGATCGGTTGTGTGTGTATGTGTATACGGTACACAATACCAAATAAATAATAATATTAAATATATTTAATATTGCATATCTGCACGGAACGCATAAATATACATATGTATGGATGTACCATACTCGACTCTACTATGTTCGTAACGCAAACTCTTACATTTTTGATGAAGATGCTTTTGCATGTAGAAAAATACGAAATTGTTCGGTGTAGCAGCAGCAGCAGTAGCAGCAGTCAATGGTGGTGGATTTTAAGTCAAGCACATACAAAATGTTTTCTATGGAATAGATAGCGGTAGCGAGATCAACTCCGAGTCTCAGAGTTCCATTCGAGAATATACACACACACACACACTCACACACTCACACACATTGTGTGCAACGAATGAAAAGGGTGAGCGAAAGAGTCATGCATTGCGTAGTTCAGCAAGGAACGCGAATTGAATGATTCAGTTGGATCGACCACACGCACACATTTCCATCGAGTCATCCTAACTTTTTGGCGCATAGGTACACACATATTCGACAATACCTTGGATATTGGAAGGTGGTTTGCCTTGCTTTGGAGACCGTGGAGTGAGCCACAGATGGATCAAACGAACGAACGAGCGAGTGAGAGAACAAAAATGCGGGCAGCCTTTTTTCTGCAAAAACAAAATCGAACGCAACGTCATAAAGGCACATGCACACACGAGAACGAAACATTGAACGAATACCAGCAAAAATATTGAATTAATAATATGCATTAGAATTTTAGATAACTTGTAGTTTTGTAGCCGATTTTCCGTATGATACAACATTACCGAAAATCATTGGGGCCAAAAACTCGTAGCAAACGAACGAACGACAAGAGATGTATTGAATAACGGTTTCTCGTTCTCATTCCATGTTCCCGTTGTTTTCGTTGCCAGTCGCACCTCGGCCTCTGAATGCGAGCATCTCATCGCTTGCGCTCAATGCATGCAACACCGAATGCTGAAATGCTTAAACACAATGGTAATAAAAACTGAAACCATTGATGAACGATAACGAAAACTGTCTAGCGTATTTTCGCGTTCACGTTTACGAAATTCACCATTCTCTATACGAGCGCGAACAGCATCTATTGCATTAGGTTCGAAATCCCATCGGTTAGGCATTTCCATATATTTTGAATGGAAACGTTTGTGTGTTTAGTATGTGTCCTCTTCGTTGAGGTGTGCAGTGCACATTTCCGTTTTTGTGAGTGCCGAACGAACGGTGAAAATTAGCTCATTCCACAAATATTGGTCTGATTCGGAGTGCGCGAATTATCAAAACTAGAGCCTCAGTCTTTTCGCCTTTCAAATACGTGCCATGCACAAGCATAAATGCTCATACCAGTCTCTGTCGTGTGTTATAGACACGCACAAAGATTCAAAAACCATGCACCACATCTTCGCTCCGCTCGCACTTGTATCACGTTCGCAATGACAATGTTGTAACATGCAACGGAGAGCGGCAGCAACGGGAGCCGATCGATGGCTCGAATTTTGGCAAATGAGGAAAAGAGATGGGCACGGCAACTTTTACTAAACAATACCATCGATGGCATCGATATTTTATTTCGACGAAGAGCGTATTCGCATGTAATGCAAATAGGATAAAATACACCAGACTATTTACATTCGGCTTCCTCTGTAAGACTTGATCTATGTGCTGCGGTCGAAATGCGAGTGTTAAATGTCATTTGTGAATGATAAAGTCCATCGCTGAAAATTTTCAACCCAAAACGGCAGTTTTTAACTACAGATTGAATGTGGTGTGTGCTAATGAAAGAAGAAATGATTTTCATAGTCGGAACTTTTGGTGGCACGGAAAATGAGGAACATTCGTTTTCTTGCATTTGTCTTTTCAAACGCAAGTTGATGGTCAATGCTCAAAATTCGATGAAATCATTTACAATTCAACGTCGCATACAAAGATACGAAGCATCTTCGATTCTTTTGATGTATTTGAAAGTAATTTTTATATTAGATTTTCGAAAACATCTTCGTTGGTTAGGTCTACCATGTTTGAATGGTTGCTTTGTAAAAAGAATGCAGTGAGCTGATCACCCAATGGAAATAGATAAGATTCTCTCGAAAATCAAATGAATTATTTCAAATAAAAACAAGGCTTCGTTTTCTTATCAAAACGTTCGCTTACCTTTTGTGCATGCACACATTCAAATTTCACGATCATTAGAGATTTATCGGGTGAAATGAGACCATTTTAGAACAAATCCTTCTCTACCATTTTGCAGTTTTTCCTATGACATGTCGTGGTGGACTTTGTTGCTGTTTAGTCGTAGTTGTGGTCGCCTAATATCGCTTGGATTGTGTTTATCGTGTGTGTAACCGTGCGCCATTGTTTCACAAAAATCTATTTTTGACTAATAAAAGACAATGGAAAATCGCGCAGTTGCGGAAAATTCGGTGGGAAATAATGCGTGTGCGGGACTTGCTATATGGATTTTATGTGTTCGCTGTATAATGTGGGCATATTGGCTTTGAATTTATTCCAATTTATTGATTGAAATGCATAGAAACGGCGAAACGTGTTGTATCTCCTATCGTCTCTCTGTCTCTCTTGGTGAGGCAAAAACACAATTCCTTGTTTTCCATTCTTTGAATAGTAAAGCTGGTGCTGCCGTTGCTTTTTTCGGTCCTCTTGCTATATGGCATGCATCACTATGTTCGAGCATGGAACATTTATTTATGATTGCTCTTCGAATATTGAACTCATCTGACGACTATATTGGAATGCATTTTGCAAGCGGGTCTCTCTCCCTCTTTCACCCACACCCATATCCACACTCAATGCTATCAATATACATCCCGATGTATATATGTGACGCGAAATTAACGAGCGATGTGCATCGATTGGTTCGAGATATTAAAAAGGAAACCATAACATAAATATCACCGTTCTCACATATTAAACAGAACATTACAAATATGCACGCAGCAAAATGAAACGATGGTACTTCATATCAGATTGTCAATGGTCGTTTTCTCTCTCTCTCTCTCTCTCTCTCTCTCTCTCTCTCTCTCTCTCTCTGCGTCTCCCTACCTCATTTGTGCAACGTTTTTAAACGTATTTACTATCTTCCGAATATTGCAATATCGAATTCAATGAAAATACCCTCAGCACATCATGAAAAACATTTCAATTCGATCGTTAGCGATGAATTGCAACCGCTACAAACTCATTGAAATAATATTTTGGTAGAATTCAGAGGGCGGATTTTGTTTAGGTACAATGTACAAGAATGTTATTATTTTGTCATTGATTATATTGATATATCACATCGACAGTCGACAAAACATTTTCGGCATATCAAAAAGTATGTGAGAGCGAGAGAGAGAGAGAGACGGGGCTTCACTGAATGCCTGCCGTATATAATGAGTGTATAGAGACATTGGATCTCATTGAGTCGAATTAAGCTGAAAACAAGCTATCAAATTCGCCATGTACACGTACAGCAGTCATTTCGAAAAGTTCGCACATGATTATTATTTTTGCGGGTATATCCGTTGAATCGAGCGATTAGAGATCATGTTATTCAAGTCTGATTAAGTAGTGCCAATGCTTTTTGATCAACTAAGAATGTCAACTTATTTGGTATAGCCCATTTTGCACACATCACTAAGTCATTATGCGTTGAAATTTGGCGAATGTAATATGAGAGTAATGGTAAAAAATGGCTGTTTCATTGAGAACTCCTTGCAAAAAGACGATTCGTTACGAGTAGAAAATGCGAATCGACGCATGTCGACATAGTTCGATTGGTCATATCAAAGAGACCGTAAAAATAGTGCGTAAAATGGGTGAATTTGGCTCTTTCATTCAGCCTATTTAGGTCGAACGATAGTCAAAGAGTGTGAGTATTCATTGAATGGAGTCAAATGGGTCATTCAATTCATTAGCTCACTCAGCGATGCTCTCAACACAGACACACACATGCAGCACGTATACCAGTGAACTGTTTG